CATTAAGAGAATAGGGTCAGCCCTTTTAGACCATGCGCCACGCCGACCGTTTTTCCCGTCATTAAACTAGCAAAAGTGGATTCGGACAAAATAGGGCCCAAAATAGATCGTTAAAATAGGGCCCAATGAGTTTAGTGAGATAAGGGTTTGCGAGGCAGGAAGTGAGTGCATGCCTGGTGCCGGCCCACTTTTTTTCCTTTCCTCAGCTGCCCTTGCTGCGACAAAGCCAGGAAAAATCCAGTGCTTAGGGAGGAGTATGTGTTGTAATGATTCTCCTCCACGTGCTCTTTAAACAGGCATTCATTTGAGAAGTTCTTCTACAACAAAAATGAGATATAATGTTAATGTATACGTTTGCAAATGTGTCATTATTTCAGGATGCAAGAATAGTAATTATACCTTTCAAATAGCTGAAATTACTATTATTTCATATAGGTGTAAGAAATAACCCTATAAAGCCTAAGGTGTCGCATTTGATAGGCCCACATCAATACTTTCTAAGGCATATAAATTATAGACATGATCAAAATTTGCTGAAAAGCCTGTTGCACACACTTTACTACTTTCCTTCGGTTGGTTGATTGATACTTTTTAGCAAGTAAAAGGCCTTTTGCTATAATTGTAAACATGTCCACCTTCAGGTCATGGTTCACATATCTCTTTGCTGTCTCTTTACTGTTTTTTATGAATTAAACATGAGAATAACTTTTATATTGTTAGTAATATTTCAAGATTATCCATACATTGTTTTTTTTTTTAGAAAATTCTTGTTAATATGTGAGTATATGATCAAGCTTTTGAGGAATGTTTTTTTTGTTCATCTCTCAATCATCATTGTATTCCATTGCATTATATGTTTTTCCCTGCAGAGCTTTGATCATAAAACTAAGCAATGAAATATGATCATACTAAGACATATTATTGGGAGATGCAGAGTGACAACTGATACTATATGCATTTTATGTGCAGTCACATTGTCAGTAGTTTGCTATACTGTTATAAAGATCTCAATGATTTACATTACACAAGCCACCAGAATTTCATCTTACTTTTTGGCCATATGAATAACAACATCTGCACCAAATTGCATATTTTTTTAGCTCAGTTTGGACCTCTATATCAATCTACATGAGCCATAATGCCTGATGTATCAAATATGACACAAAAACATATTCAGAAAATGTTCTTTTATGTTTTGTGCAAAGGTTTAATAAACTGTTATATTACAAAGCATTAGATTTTTTGACTGGTTTCATATATCAGCCTTTGTAGGGTAAAATGTGATTCTGAGAAATGTAATGTTTTGCCATTAAGTTTCACATGTCTTGTGTAATGGATGACCTTTCTCACCATTCCATGTGCAATTCCCTCCTGATTCATGCACAGATATCGTCCACTCTTCACACCACAGATACCCACTATGCCCGGCCTGACAGCAAACACTCTCAGCAAGCCTTAAAGACAAAAAAAGAATAATGGGAACAATATAAAGAAGATCAATTCATAGACTATTCTGACAATTTAATATGTGCAAATGAGGAATTTTTTTCTCTGTATTAATGAAGGTTAGGTAAATAAATCATACTGTACTCAGAAGGCTCGTGAACACCCCAAACACTGCCATTCATCACAATCTGTAGGTGGAAACCAATCCCAACACGGCAATACAGGAGCTGACGACGAGCTGGATTAGACTCCCCTATGGCTGCTGGGATATTCAAAGGGCAAAAATAATAACATCTAATAAATGTTGAACTATAAAATATACAGTTAGATGGTAAGATGGGGGGCATCTGAAATCGCACACTTCCCTATTACATAAAAAACAGTATGTGAACAAAGTATGTGTTTTTAAGATCCCATAAGGCCAATAGGAGAGGATTTGAGAATGACAGTGAAGCAACACAACTGTTGCTGGTAGGTCACATGACAATGATAACATGGCGGGTGTAGTACGTCCAGATTACAATCAAACTACACACATTCATATTCTAAAGAACTTTATTTTTTTTAACAGATGCTGGGGAATTGTTTACTCAAAAATGTACCTACTCAGACAGAGTATGATTTCGGACACAGCCAGGGTGATAAGGCTGCTGAAGGTGGTTATTTTGTAAAAGTTTGTTATTTTATGTTCTCATTGGTTAACAGATTGTATTGAGTTAAATATATTTATAATCAGTGGTTACTAACAAACTTGTATGATTGCGTGCATGTTCTCTTGTACAAATTGTACAAACTGCCCTACAAACACACTCGCATTGTGGTTTTGTTATCAGCATGCGTCACAGATCTGTCCTTGTGTCTTTGATTACTGTAAACTAGACAGGACCTGATGCAAACTGCATACTGAAGCTCAGATCCTGTGTGTGAATGGCTGTATGTGTGATCAAAGCCGCCATGCTACTAACATGTGTCACTGGTCTCAGTATCAGCACAAGTCAGGAAGTATCAGTATGATTTCAGCATTGTTTTTATCGAATATCATGCATATAAGTGACCAAATGAACTTTAGAACAAAATATCTAGGTATCAGAATAGCATACTACCGTACTACACTTAATAGTTCTTCATATGCAAAATATGAGAATACTGCGACTTTTTGCAAATGTGCAACAATGTAGCATAGGGTACTTAAAAAATACATTGTGTACTATACAGAATTCAGTCAGTAGTAACTAGTAAGATAGTATTTCAAACCGTATGCTGGTACATTCATTCTGTTTTTAAGCAACAGATGTTGTTATATATAGACAGTCTAGTAGACAGACAGCTGTCATTCGTTCAGCTGTCAAACCACATGTCATCTGTGCAGCTCTGTGTAAACATATATTATCACAAAAAATGATGGCCTACTATTAGTCTGCTAATAGTAATAAAAAATTCATCAAGTACTGGGATGTTTGCCAAATGCATGTACACACGTACATTATTTATGACACAAAATACAGTGTAGTCTGATAGACCATTTTAGAGTTTGGCATAACTATAAAAATGTATATTAATTTTTTTTAATTAATTTATGTAACCATTCCAGGTGTAGAAATCACACTTTGAAATTAGGCTACCTCATATACCTTGGTTTTTCAAAACAGTTGTTGAGATTGTTGAGAATTTAATTAAGAACTGTCATGATTTTGAGCTGTTTTAGCTTATTTTAATGCTTTGTCTTAATTTAAGTCATTTTTAGACATCTTAAGGGCCAGTTAGAAGTTTGCTGCAGAAGAACCACTGATGCACCATATATTCAGGCAATGATGTATGAGATGCTGTGCTATTCTGAATATAGTCACAGTAAAAGGATATTAAGGTGCAACATCTTTTACCATGTTAAATTCACAAAACAGCATGGTCTTGAGTTCTGTATCACTTTTACAAAATTACCATATTTACAATCATTACATAAATTCATTTCAGAACATTTGCAATACAAAACAATTGTCTTAATGTGCTGTGATTAATCAACTATTTCTTCTTTCTATATATACACACATATATATATATATACACACACACACACACACACACACATATATTTGGATTAACATTCCCATGAATAGTGAAAAAGGTGTTTTGAATAAACAAGCTGGTACAGATTGATCTTACCTTTCTCTCTCATTTTTGCATCCCTCATTGAGAGCTGCCACATGTGTCTCACGTGGCTGGCCTGGTCACCTGAGGACTCGGTTTCTTCATCTGTGCAGTTACAGCTTACACAAATTGACAATATAACTGATATAAAGCATAAAAGCGTCCAGTGGAAATCCATGAGAGAGGCATCAGGTACACAGATATGGCCTCCAGGTGAAGCACTTTGACATGCTGTCAGCTTGTGACCGCACTGACACCTGTGAAACCGTCTCTGAGGCCCAGAGTGTCCTTCCTCAATCACCAGTGCTGTGACTGACTGATATATTGAAACTAAATGAACATAATGTCCTGCACTCAGTGTAAACAAACTTCACTACACAGGGTCAGTGTGCCTCCACTCTTCCTACCTCCATCCTTTATACATACATCATCTGCACTGATACCTACTAAATGAACATTCAGAACAGATGCATGTTCACAGAGGAAAGAACCCACGCAGATACACTTTTGCGTCTATGTATATGACTACATAATAAAATCTTCTTATCATTTGAGTGATACAGTATCTCCTCGCTCATTCACATTCATAGGTAATGACACAAGTGAATGTGTATGAAGTGTACGAATGTATGAGGGCCTTAATTCGCTTCCATTTAAGTTAATGCACTACTACTAATAGTACAACTACTGTTGTTAATAACATAAAAATACCTGCTAATATTGTATACATTTCACTGTTCAGCAAAGGTTAACATGGAGATAATTATTGCATTTTAAGTGTATCAACAATTATGTGGAAGCTTGTTTCTGCCACAGAACTATTTCTCGTAATTTTGAGAAATAAGTCAGAATTGTGAGTAATGTCTCTCGATTCTAAGAAACAAAGTCAGAAACTCAAAATTATTATATATTATATTTAATTCTGAGTGTCTATCTCGCAATACTGACTTCATTTCTTGCAATCACAAGTTTACATCTTCATATCTCAGAATAGCAAGCTATTTTAAGAATAACTTGAACTTTTAAAAAATAAACTTGAACACTGACCACACTAGCACCTGTGAAACCACCTCTGAGGCCCAGTTCTTATATGGGAGTTTTGCGATTAATGTGTGATGATGTTTCCAATGAGGCAAGAAGAAATGAGATTAAAGTGGTTGGTGATAAGTCGGTCAGTTTCCTTGTTTATGAACTGGAGGCCTCAAACAGCAGGGTCTGACGTATGTGCTCTTAGTTCTCTGAAAGCACAAAACGTCTAAATCATTATGAAGAAAATGATATGCCTCATATCTTAGGTTCCCTCAACATTAGCACTGACCATGGAAAGTGTGGAAAACGTTATTATTTATATTTTGTGGAAAATTGGTTAATGCTGTACTCCTACAAATTTGAAAAAAGATATGAGTTATCTACATGTACAGACTGATCAAAATAGAGCTGGGTTTTTGTTTTTTTTGGTCTTAAAAACCCAGAAGAAAATTAACAGCCATACCTTCCTTCTGGGTTTTTAGAAACACAGTTGTGGATTTATGGGTATAAAAAGTTCTGTGGTTATTAGTTAACATTACTGGAGTTGTTGTATTTAAAGAAATGGGTGTAGCAACAGTTCTTTTCTTCCGTATTGTGATGTACATCCGAGTGAAACAGATTGTTGAAGAAGAAAAACGCAGCACATGGACTTGACGTTACGCATTATTCTGCAGAATTTCAAACCCTAATCAAACAGTTAAAGGAGACCAGCTAAAACCAGCTACTTCCAGTTTAAGACCAGCTTAGATTGGTTTTAGCTGTTCATTTTTTTCAGCATGGATAACATGCATTTTGAAATAGATTGGGTCAATTTTCATTCCATGTCAAATTGTAAGTATGTTTATAAACTGCCCATAACTCAAAAACCGGTTATTCTACAAATCCACAGGAAATTCCAGAAAGAACTCACAGGAAACATAAAACCAGGGCTGGCTTAAAAATTGGGTCATTCTATGGAAACGTCCACTTTTCTGTCCCTAGCCTTTACAGAAATATTACACTTGAAAAACAATTTAGTGTTAAATTTTTTTTTGATATTTTAAAATAAAACAATGTGTTATTTGAACAATTACACCCTCTTGAGCCATCAATGTGGCAATATTTATTTTTAATTAATTATAAAAAATTCCAAGCACCACAAAACTGCTCGTCCCCACAGCCATGTTCAGAGGAAAAGTGCTTTATTTTGAGGTCAAAAACTGGTTTTCTACCATTTAAAATACAATGATGTTTTCATAGCTATCAAATACATGATGTAAATGACATGAAAACAAAACAAAATGCCAAATAAATATTATAAAATATATAATGAAAGTAGTGGTCCCTTGGAGTTGTGTCACTGGTGATACCGTTTAACAAAAATCATTTATTTTGAAATAAAAATCACACTGATGACTTCACTTGACTTCCTTCCTCCCGTTTCCTGAAGATCTATGAAAAAAAGGCCCATGTGAAGTCCACTGTTTCTTTTCAGTTATCAGAAATGTTCTCATTTATCTCATGATTTCATATGAAGCTGGTATGACCTACTTTATTGTTAGGGAATTGTAAAAAACTAGAATACAAATGGATTAAACTACTTACTTTAGTGAGTATACCATGATTGACAACATGTGGTTTGATACCTTGCAGCAGACATTTTGTAAAATGCATTTTTCATGAAAATTGTCACTGGTGTTACCTTCCTAATGGGTAACACCAGTGAAGATCCGTTTACGTTGAAGCTCTTTTACTAACTGCTTTCACTGATTGCCAAATGTAACAATTTAGTCTTATCTACTTAATTGTAGTTAAAGAATAAGGATCTTTGGTCTTATGTATGTC